ACAGAGCGGGGTCAGCACATGCTGAAGCGCACAATGCGTAGAAGTCGCCAACTGTCTGCAGAGTCAATAGTTAAAGACCTCCAAACTTTGTGTGGCCTTCAGATTAGCACAACAACAGTGCAGAGGGCTTCATGGAATGGGCTTCCATGGTCGAGCAGGCTGCATCCAAGCCTTACATCACCAAGTGCAATGCAAAGCTTCAGATGCAGTGGTGTAAAGCACGCCACCAACTGACTCTAGAGCAGTGGAGACGTTTTCTCTGGAGTGACCAATCACACTTCTCTGTCTGACAATCCAATGTCTGGGTTTGGCGGTTACCAGGAGAACGGTACTTGCCTGACTGCATTTTGCCAAGTGTAAAGTTTGGTGGGGGGGGGGGGGGAGGGATTATGGTATGAAGTTGTTTTCAAGAGTTAGGCTTGGCCCCGTAGTTCGCATACAATAAGAAATGGGGGAGAAGTTCTGGTGCACAGAGGTATATAAACGCCAATTCAGAAGAAGGGGAGAGGGGAGGGAAACAAATAGTTAATGGAGTATAAATATCACAAATATGCAAGCTATGAAGGTTAATGGCTCAGGTGCATATGGCAACAGCACATGATAAAACAATGTATATAATATATAAGTGGAATGAATAAAGTCTGATAACAAAGTCTCTGGGGTCGGCGTGAAGGTAGCCGCAGCCGTCCTTTAGGATATATCCAGTGTGTTAGGGGTTAACAGCAGGATGGTAAAAGCCTTGGGTGCAGTGTGCAGTCTTCCCTGGAGTGTGTGGGAAGATGGTGGAGCTGATGGACAGCATCCATCCCTGGAGAAAGCAGGAAATGGCAAGGAATGAACCGGCGGAAGTGACGTCACCAGGAATCTCCAAGGGTCAGATGTACAGATACACAGAGAACAGCAGCAGAAACAGCAGGCTACACGCTCGGAGCATCTAGCTCCTTCTGCAGGTTCCAGTGAAGGGAACCCTTAAGGCATCAGCATACCAAGACATTTTGGACAGTGTCATGCTCTCAATGTTGTGGGAACAGTTTGGGGATGGCCCCTTCGTGTTCCAACCTGACTATGCACCAGTTCCCAAAGCAAGGTCCATGAAGCCATGGATGAGCTAGTTTTGGGGTGGGGGAACTTGACTGGCCTGCACAGAGTCCTGACCTCAACCTGATAGAACACCTTTAATTAGAGCAGAGACTGCGAGCCAGGCCTTCTCATCCGACATGAGTGCCTGTCCTCACAAATGCGCTTCTGGAAGAATGGTGAAACATTCCCATAGACACCCTCCTAAACCTTGTGGACAGCCTTCCCAGAAGAGTTGAAGCTGTTATAGCTGCAATGAGTGGGCCAACTCATTATTGAACCCTACAGACTAAGACTGGGATGCTATTAAAGTTCATGTGCATGTAAAGGCAGGCCAACCAATACTTTTGGCAATATAGTGTATGCTAATATCTCATAGTGTGTTTTAGCAGCTTTTTCCTTATTCAGTTAATTTTTTTTCTTATAGTAATTTATGGTTCACCTAAGAGCAATTCACATTTTGCATTCAATGAAATGGACATTTCAGGAACAGTAAGGGTAGAAAGGGTAGAAATGATAGGGCTAGATTATGCTGGATGTCCTCCAACCAAGAAATAAGATGGGCACTCTCTGGCTTGCCACAGCAATTTCTGTACAGGAGAGGAGACTGTTTAACTGGGAAAGACTGAAGATAAGGCTAGAGTTCAGCTTTAACAATGCAACTGTGTAGTCTCTAATTGCTAATGCAACAAAACCCATGAAAACAGAGGAATAATACAAACTCAATGCATAAAGGGTCCCTGCAGGGAACTAAGTCAAGGACATGGACATGTACACTGCTTGGCAAGAGTAATAACAAAAGAAATGCAATTATTTTAATTTCTAGAAAAATGAAAAATGAAGTTGGATACTATAAATTGAAATTATTTTCTAACAGTTGTTGGATTGTTTTTTTAACAAATTAGCAAATATCATTGGCAAGAGTTCTAAACTAAAGTTACATTAGAATAATATTATGTATACAGTATGTTCAGTCAGTATAATTTCTGCATCGATGACCTCCAGATGGGAAACCCAGGCTACATTTAAGCTGGAGATACACATTGTGCCCATGGGAAATGGAGAATCATGCATGCTCAAATAAATATACTTTTCAGTAGCACAAGTTTTCATTGTCTATTAAGCCACATAGGTTTTGAGTCTTTCTTGTCATTTTGACATTTGTCTCTCTGAAGATAGAGTAGCAAAGTTAAAGTGATACTTAAGCTTTGTTTTTTTAATAAAATAACAAGCCTGTCATACTCACCTGCTCTGTGCAGTACTTTTGCACACAGGTCCCCCAATCTTCTTCTTTTTGGCTCCTTTCCCTCAGCAGTGCCCCAAGAGAAAGCCACATGCCCTGGGGGCACCGCTCCTGAGCCGCTGCTCTGTGCATTCATAGGACACAGAGCTACGGCTCGGCCCCACCCTCTTTCTCTCTCCTCATTGGCTCACTGGCTGTGAGTGACAGCAGTGGAAGCCAATGGGCTGTTGTCTCAGCCAATGAGGAGGGAGAGTCCCCATACAGCCGAGGCTATTGTGAACATTGCTGGATTGGGGGGGGCTCAGGTAAGGATTGGGGGGCTGAGGGGGGGGGGGGGGGCAATGCACACAGAAAGGTTTTTTAAAATAAGAAACAAAAGAAAAAGGAGAGCTACTACCCATCCAGTTACTTATTGTATAAGGTAGCCGGTTCTCTCCATCCACAGTTGCCCAGCTGAAGGTAAAGCAGGAAGAAAGACGATCCTCACTACATCTACTGCTCTGAAATCTTTGTTTATTATAAAGTATATGCTTCACAGATTCAGTAGGTTGACGCGGTTCAGATTACACAACTTTAATCATAACACAGAAGTTTTTTACCTTCATACATAGAATGCATGAAGGTAGAAAGCCTTGAGCCTTTACAACCACTTTAACTACTTGCCGACTGCAGATAGCCGAATGACGGCTACACTGCGGCTGGCCAGTTCTGGGTGGGCGTCATATGACATCCTCCCAGAACGCGCTCTCCTGCGCGCCCCCAGAGGGCGCACCTGGCGATCTCCATGATCAGTGTGTCCTGCGGACACAGTTGATCACTTGATGTGGTAAAAGGCCAATCACAGCGGCCTTTTACCACGTGATCAGCCGTGTCCAATGACACGCTGATCACCGGGAAATGCAATTGCAGGTTCTCGGCTGCACTTTCCTCACGCTGTCAGATTGTGAGGAAAGTACTGCCGAGAACCGGCAGTTGTTAGAGGGCACCGATCATCAGGCGGACTGCAACTCATGTGGCCCCCGGGCAATAGGGGATCATGGGGCCACTGTGTCCTTGCCCAAACTCAAAAAAGCCTATGAAAAAGGTACCAGGGGCATCTCATGGGGCCCCCTACTGACCCCGGGCCCTCGGGAAGTGCCCGAGTTTCTAAATGGTCAGTCCACCCCTGGTCAGTGCTCTTTATTAGCACTGATCACTGTATTGGTGTCACTTGGGATGTTGGTGACACCAAGTCAGTTCCCCCCGGTGTCAGAATGCAGTCCCGCAGTCCTGCTATAAAGTCGCTGATCGCCGCGCCGCCATTACTAGTATAAAAAGAAAAATAAATTTCCAGTATATACTGTATACCACCATTTGTAGACACTATAACTTTCACATAAACCAATTAATTTAAACCTATTGGGATTTTTTGTAGCAAAGACATGTAGCAGAATACATTTTGGCCTAAATTTATGATGAAATTTATTTATTTTTTTTACTGGATATGTTTAATAGCAAGAAGTAAAAAATATAGTTTTTTTCTCATAATTGTCAGTCTTTTTTGTTTATAGCGCAAAAAATAAAACCCGCACAGGCGGTCAAATTCCACTGAAAAAAAAGCTCAATTTGGGGGGAAAAAAAAGTACATACATTTAATTTATGCGCAATTGTCAGTTAAAGTAACGCAGCGTAGTATCGCAAAAAATGGCCTGGACAGGAAGGGGGGGGGGGGGGAATCCTCTGGAGGGCAAGTGGTTAAAATGCCTTAAATATGGCTTGATACAAACTACTTCTAGGAAAATTGGAATTCCTAAAACAATGATTGATTTACTAATAATGCTTTGCTAAAGTAGCCAACTATGCTTTTTACTTGAGATTCCTGATGTCATGTTATTAAACAAATGAACCTATTAGAATATAATGTACAGTGGCAGAAAAGTTCAGAATTATAGCCCATTGTGCCCGGTCAGCACAGCTCTGGTCAAATTTAAAAGACTAATTAAAATGAGTTATAGACAATCATTAAAGAAGATTTTAGACAATGTTGGCTACATGTTTTCCCTCAAGGGCCATTACCAATATTGACATATTGTCAAATGATATACAGAGAAAAATGAAATTAAACTTTTCAATGTATTTTTTTTTCTGTAAAATCTCTAATACACACCAGACATACAATCTGATAACTTGGAAAAAGCCAAAACTTGAAAGAGTTAAGCCTGCCAAAACGCTGATTTAAGTTTCAATTTCGTTTTCCATTGATCAATGTCTGCAGCCAATCAGCTGCATCTGCAGATAAGCATATTCTGACAACTACTACTTTCAAAATACAATGGGCTGATTTACTAAAGCTTGAGAGTGCAATATCTAGTGCAGTTGTGCATGGTGGGCAATCATCTTCTAGCATCAGCTTGTTCAATTAACCACTTGCCTACCGGCCACTTTTACCCCTTTCATGCTCAGGACAGTTTTCAGCTTTCACCGTTGTCGCACTTTGAATGACAATTGCGTAGTCATGCAACACTGTACAAAACTACATTTTTGTATTTTTTTTTATACAAATAGAGCTTTCTTACGGTGTTATTTAATCACCGCTTATTTTTTGCTAAGCAAACAACAAAAGACCAAAAATTGTGAAGAAAAAGTTTTTCTTACTTTCTGTTATAAAGTTTTGTAAATAAATGATTTTTCTCTTTCACTGATGTGCACTGATGAGGCTGCACTGATGGACACTGATAGGCTGCAATGATGGGCACTGATGAAGCTGCACTGATATGTGGCACTGATGGGCACAGATGGGCGGAGCTGATGGGCACTCATAGGGCACTCATGGGAACTGACAGGCATTACTGAGGAGGCACTGATAGCCAGCACTGGTGGGCACTGAAAGCTGGCACAGGTGGGCACTGAAAGTCAGCACAGATGGGCACTGATGGACACTGACAGCCAGCACAGATGGGCACTATTGGCTGCACTGATGGGGCTACACTGATCATCAGGGCTCCATCTTACATTTCTCCAGTGCTCCCTGCTGTCCAGCCGGCATTCCTGTTCACTGTTACAGATTACAACTACGAGGCGTTGTGTTTTGTTAACCCCTTATGAGCCTACTTATTACCATCTAAATGTGAGTGGTTTTATTTGTGTTCACCATTAAATACATCTTAGTCTACACTCAGAAGCGCTGTGATTCTCTTCTTGTCCACTCCAGAGTCATTGCTCCACTCTATCACAGCTCGCCGGGTGTCTCTAGACCGTTTGTTCCCCCGCCAACTCCTGACCCCATACTCAGCCTAGAGACTATGCGGACTGCTTATTCCATGCGCCTGCCATCCCTTTTTTATTCTCACTGATGATCAGTGCCCTGATGGCCAGTGTAGATGTCCCCCTGAGAAATGCTGCTTACCGGAGTGGTCACTTATGGAGTCAGTGACATCATAAGGGATTTTTTACTGGGAAGTGCTATTAAACTTTGTGAGACTTCTTAGCTCTGACTCTGATATCCCTTTATCTGAAATAGAGGTAAAGTTAAATTGAGGGAAATGTAAATATTTAGTAAGTATACCTACTCAGCTCTGATCATTTGAGGCTGTAAGTTAAAAATCTGCACAGTTTGCATATATGCAGTCATAACATTTTACTGTGAGCTAAAAGCAGCATCTATCCAAGGTGAAAACATGATAGCACACTTTTACAGCATTTGTGTCCTAGATTTTCTTTCTACCCTCTTGGCCCTTTGGAGGCCTGTTACATTTCTACTATTCACTACAGAATATGGGGAGGCACTGGAAAAAAGGAGGAATCCCACCCCCCCCCTTCCCGTTGAGACAATGGAGCTGATTTACTAAAACTGGAGAGTACAGAATCTGGTGCAGCTCTGCATAGAAACCAATCAGCTTCCAGGTTTTTTTGGTCAAAGTTTAACCACTTCCCGACTGAGCTATAGCCAAAAGACAGCTACAGCATGGTCAGTTAGTTCTGGGAGGGCGTCCATGGACATCTTCCCAGAACCACAACGTTCTGGTTGTGATGTGTTCAAGTAAAGGGCCAATCAGAGCCGCCTTTTACATGTGCCCAATCACAGCTGATCACAGTATAAATAGGAAATGATGGTTATTGGTAGTCCTCTCCTCACGCTGACAGCATGTGAACAGAGGAGATCAATAGACTTTCCAGCAGCCAGCAACAACAGACAATAGACCCCTCACTCAACAGTAGATCCCTTCCAGAAACAATTGACCTCCACCAGCAACAATATACCTCTCCAGCAACAATAAACCACCACGCACAAATAGATCCCCTTCAGTGACAATAGATCCTTTAGCAGCCAGCAACAACAGATCATCCAGCACACCAGCACCCCTTTGTATTACATACATTCAGTGTTGGAGGTGCCATAACTGCGTTCCCCCACGTTCCCGCTGAAAAAAAGCCCTGGTTATGTCTGATGCAGGCCATACATTGGTCGAATTCTGAACAAATTTTCTTTAGAAAATCAGAAATTTCATGCGTATTGTAACCCGATGGCGCCATCATTGATTTCTAAATTTGACCAATCAAGCCTTCAATTTCACCTCATGTTGCTACAGAAAAGAATTTTCGTGGCCAAGAATTTTCTTTTCTTTCCAGGTCACAGCTCATGCTCATTTCTTTTTCAATTATATTTCTTGTGCAATTCTTCCATCATTGTTTAGAAATTTGTTCATTTTTCAAAAAATTTCCAACATATCCGATCCCTCAAACTCGATGGTCGCACAAAAATTGGCCATTTCTGTGGCCCACTAATGGTGCAAAACTTCTTAGAAAAGATTTTCAAAAGAAAATTATTTCGGAATTCGACTCTTGTATGGCCGGCTTAAGGATACTAGTAGGTTGCAAATATTCCTATGTTTGAGACAGTACACACCACTCTTGGTTGAGGTTTTTCATACTTTTTCAGTTGATTCCACTCTGATTAAATGGGCTTTCCTATATTATTTTGCACTTATTTTTGCAAACAGTTTGTGATTAGGGCTCTCAGTTCATTTGTCTTCAGAAATTTGATAACTTGCCAATTCACTTCTCTATGTAATATATTGCTTCTCTGTATGCTGTATTGCAGAGACCTTGTCTTATCTATTCATTTGACTGAATATTTACAACATAGGCGCATGTCTTTGTCAGCATTGATATTGTTAGTCGATTCCCATGTCCATAATACTAAAAACTCTTTTGTATTAAAAAAAAAATCAGATGCATTTTAAATAAAAACATAATTGTAATGAGCAAGTAACAAAACCAATCTACTTTGCCCTTTCTCTTTCTATTAAAACGACTTCACTTACCATAACAGGGGCTGATTACTTTACTACTTCATGCCAAAGTCCTTGTGGCCTGCGTACACCATTCTACAAACAAAATGCTCTATTGAACCTTCTTTTGCACATAGATAATAAATAGTGTGCAAAACATCTATTCTGAAACTTTCTCCAATAGAAGCTGGAGAACAGTACCAGCTATAACACCTTCAAGAAACTATCCTGTATAAATCTAATATAAAAAAAAAAGATGAAAGCCATGTGCAAAATAATTATTAAAATCTTTGCAGAAGATAATGTTATTTATTAAAATGTTCAACTTTTTTAAATTTTCATTTCATCAAAGCGCACAGGCAGTTCTAAAAAGATCAAAGATCTCCAGGTTTTAATGTGTTTTCCAGTCCCTCTCCATTTCAAGCTACAGGCAATTTAGTTTGGGTGTTCCATCTTTAAAAGTGCAGAAGAACCTTCAGAATATAAAAACTAACTTTTCTGTCTTCAATCACCCAAGAAAAAAAAATGAACTAAAAATTATAGCATAATAATAATCACTAGGAATCATGATCATCCTTCTGACTACATATCACATTATTTTCTCTGAAGGAATGTGGTAAAAAAAGAAAACTTGAAACAAATATATATACATATAACCATAAATGTTTTGCAGATAATGTTTTTAAATCTTAAAATGAAATAAACTATAATAAACTGTAAGAGAGCTTTTAAAATTACATCTAACTAATATTTGTAGCTGCAGGAACTGAAGAGCAATTCATCTTCAAAATTCATAGTAGAATAACTAAAACATGGGTGGCATCATTAGGCTGTATTTGGGGGCATGGGCTTGTTAAATATAGTTACAACCAACTTGCAATGTACTCTGTGCACAACTGTCACAGTTTACAGTACCTGTAAAAAAAATTCCTAATATCTGTGCTATGATCAACAGCCTCAGAGACACACAAAAATCTAAAATATCCTTGAAAAAAACACAATACGGATATGTTTTACCACTTTGTTTGGGTCTACCTTAAAGAAGAACTTCCCTAAATGGTAGGAAGCTACAAACTACTTACCAACTAGCAATTTTTCTTGTTCAAACATTTTATCGATTTTCCAAGCTAGAAACAAGCATAGGACATTCAAATACATGTACAGGAATAAAGGAGAACATGTTGCCCAAAGGCAAGAAGGAAAATGTCATACAAAAACATATAACATGGAACCATAATGAAACATTAGGTAATAATGCAATACAAAGAGAGATAAAACATGGTTATGGCTTAAATCGGGTGTACTGCTCCCCAGAACTACATAAATGTTCCATGAAAGGTGGAGAAAAAAAGGATTGGGGGAGCAGGTTGGAAAGAAGAAGGAAAGAATATAGGAGACCAAGAGGGGGAACAGAGGAGGGGGAGAAGGGATGTGTGACATCCAGAAGAGAAGAAGTAGCTCAGGACCAGATCAATGTAGGAATTGGCACATAGGACAACCTTAGGGCGAAACCAAAAAAAAAATGTTAAGGAGGAGCAGCGAATCATCAAAATTCGGTGGGAGGAAACGTTCTACCCAGGAGTTCCAGATCTTCAGAAATTTGAGGACAGAGTCCATAATGGTTGCTTCCATTTTGTCGTGAATCATTGCTTGTGTTACCTTGTTCCTAACAGCTAGAATACAAATGGATGTAGAGTTCCATGATTTGGTCATAATTTGCTTAGCTGCCTTGGTGACTTGCAAGAGAAGTTTGAATTGGGATTTGGATATGGAAGGGGGATGAAGGTTTAACAGGGTTATGATCAGGTCTGGCTATAGTGGCTTTGCAAAAAGCAAGGACAGCATATGAAAAACTTCGGCCCAAAAAGCTTGGGCTACCGGGCAATACCACCAAATATGAAAATATGTTCCTACCTCTGCACAGCCCCGATATCAATTATGAGAATAACCGGGTGTATATTTAGCAATCCTCGCCCAGACTAAATACCATCAAGTCAATATTTTGAAATTAGTCTCTACAGCTATTATGTTCTGCAAGGAGGATTTGGTAGCCAACCATATGCGTTCCCAATCTGTAGGACTCAATTGATGCCCAGGAGCCTTCTCCCACTTAGCAACATAAGTAGGGCTTGGTGAAGAATTCGGGGTTGAAAGGAGGTTATAAAGGATGGAGATAAGGCCTCTTCTGTGAGGGTCTCTGTAACAAGAGCATTCAAAAAAGTCATGGAATGGGCCGAATGGGATTGAACAGTAAGCGGGGGCGTAAAAATGTTTCAACTGGAGATATCTAAAGATTTCCAACACCGGTATAGAGTGTGATTCATGAAGGGAAGGAAAGGATTTGAGGCCCTTATTATTTAAGATGTGATGGGCATGGAGCAGGTTTCCTGAGGACCAATGCATGAAGGAGAGTGGGGAGGACCAGGCTGTGGGGAAAGCCGGATCCTGAAGGTATGAGAGTAGGGGATTGTGC